AAATGCAGGTTAGAACTACAAGAGGGAAGCTGTTCAGTCATCGCACAGCAATAGTCAGCGAGTCTGACAGCAGCCTATGTAGACATGGTGTGAAGACACTCTGTGCTTGTTCTTGTCAGTAGACATGTAAATCAATACATCATCGGCGGAGAATTCAACTATGTTTGCAAAATGCTAGATGCACAAGATCCTTACTGCTGTGACTCCAAGTGCAGAATCCTCGACAGACAGGCAGACAGACGGGCAGACTGTCAGGCAGACAGAGGAGCAGTCAGGCCAACAGGCAGGCAGGCAGATGGTCAGGTACACAGACAGACAGACAAACAGACGGGCAGACTATCAGGCAGACAGATGGGCACACAGATAGATGGACAGGCAGAATAAAACAAATATAAACAAACCAACCAGCAAGATAAGCAGGCAGATGTACAGACAGACAAGAAGGTAGGCTGACAGGTAGACTGACATGGATGATCAAAATTCATGCTTTGGCATGAGGACCGTTTTGAGCTGAAGGTAACCGGGAGACAGATGTGGGAAGGTGCTCACCCCCTTTCTGTCTGCCTCTTCATCTGGCTGTTGGTGTAGCGGCTTCGTTGCGGTGTTTATGATAGGCTTGTGACATTGTAACATTTCCCTGAGTTCTTTGAGCTCTTCCAGCAAGTTTCCAGCCTGGAGTGGGGTCAGACTGTGCACAAGGGTGTGAAGTGTGGGCTCCTTGGGACTGGCAGAAGTGGGGGTCTGTGCCACTGGGTCTCCATCTGTGGAGACACCACCACAGAACTGGTCCACAGGATATTCTGTGGCCTCGGAGGGAAGTGGGGTAGGGAGACATTGGTGGGCAACTTTCTTCCGCTAGACCTGGAGCCTCAATGTGGAGCCCAATGTGGCTTGGAGGGACTGGCCAGGTGACAAGGACATTCTGCTGTGGGTACAGGTGACATCCAGAAGAAAGTACAGAGAGGTCAGCATCTAGAAGAGGACAGAGAGGGTCAGCATCTGGAAGAGGACAGAGAGGGTCAGCATCTAGAAGAGGACAGAGAGGGTCAGCATCTAGGAGAGGACAGAGAGGGTCAGCATCTAGGAGAGGACAGAGAGGGTCAGCATCTAGGAGAGGACAGAGAGGCTCAGGATCTTGGAGAAGACTGACACAGCCCGGTGAAAGCCAGCAGATCCCCGTCACAGCTGGCCTGTGTGCAGGGTGGGGGACATCCCTGTCTCTGTGCTCCTGCTGGCGTGGGGTATGGGCACGGCGGGGAGACAGGAGGCGGGTAGATACTGCTGACCAGGGCAGCCTGGGAGCTCCTGCAGAGGACATGGACTTCAGGGGCAACTAACACCCCAAACCTCCATACTCAGTTCTCAGGCATGCAAAGTAGGTTGGAGTGAACCGGGTGGTCTTGATAAAGTGAAATAGATCCAACAAGAAACACAACTTGTGTCGCAGTGCTGGTATTTATGACTACTGTGGACCAGAAAAAACTAGTTTTAATATTTAATGGCCTCAGATGCAATGTTTGGGAGATACTTCCTGGAGAGAAGTAACTATTTTATCACACGGTGCAGAGAATCTTCATGGATAAACACAGACCCACTTGAGGGTTGTCTTTGTGAATGAACAGATGGCTACATCAGCAGGGATTGGGCATCTCTCTTCAGTTGGTGCGTTGCTCCAGAGCCTGAAGCTCACCAAGGAAAACCTGCTTTCCCACGTGTGCCACAGCACCACACTCCAGAATGAAATCTTGATATTTTTCCTGACCCGGCACACTGCTGAGGGCCTCTGGAGAGGCTGGGCAGGCAGTGCTGGTCACACGGGAGCCCGGTCTGTGGGAGGGTCACCGAGGCCAGACCCCATGTCAGTCCCATGTCATCCCCAGGTTTCAGGTGGGCAGAAAGAAAGTCATGATTTCTCAGGTGGAATCGGTGCTCAACGCCTGTATCCAGATGGGAGCCCCTCTAGGTCACAGGAAATCCACACATGTAGCACATACGTCACAAGTGCACGCCCATATGCACATCATGTGACAGCACGTGCCACATTTTTAGGTATCTAAGGAAATGTAAACACATAATTGTCAGAGATCTGTTCACCCTCATTCCTGTGGGCTGTGTCTGAATCTAAGTCTCACCAGCAGGCCAAGGTGTGAGTGGAGTGTGGTCACTCCTGTGGGGCCCTGGTATGGGTCTCCATCGGAAGTGTGCCAGGAGGCAGACAGTGGCCAAAGGGCTACGAGATCAAAGTTTAGCAGGGCATGGTGGCACATGCCTGTACTCCCTGTACATGGGAGGCTGAGCTAGATCACAGGTGTGAGCCAGCCTGGGCGGCATAGAGCTCTGAGAAACAGAGAGAGGAGGGACTAGGGAAGCAACTCCTTCGTGAAAGCCTTAAGTACCTAACGAAAAGGCCAACAACACCATGCAAGGAAAACTCAGAAGCCTTGAGGAGGGCCTAGGTGGGACTGGGGACGCTCCTACCTGGCAAGGTGAGGCCTGAGATCTGCCAGGGAACCGGCCATATTTACCAACAAATCCTGCCAGTTAAGCCAAATGTCATACCAAACCATTTTTGCCAATGGTTCTGGCAAAACAAAAACAAAAACAGGGGCTGGGAAGGTGGCTCAGTGGTAGAGCACTTGCCTTGCATGCATGAGGCCCTGGGTTCAATTCCTCAGCACCATGTAAGCAGGAACAAAAAAGCCGGAAGTGGCGCTGTGGCTCAAGTGGTAGAGCGCTAGCCTTGAGCTGAAGAGCTGAGGGACAGCGCCCAGGCCCAGAGTTCAGGCCCCACGACCGGACCCCCCCAAAAACAAAAACAAACAAAAAAAAAAACCAAGCAAACAAAAACAAAAACCTCAGGCAGCCAGAGGCCATTTCTTGGGAAAGTATTTATTTGCTATTTATTTCTTTGTTGGTTTGTTTATTGGTGCTGGTCCTGGGGCTTAACCTCAAGGCCTAAGCACTATCCTTGAGCTTCATTCTGCTCAAGGCTAGCATTTTATTACTTGAGCCACAGCTCTACTTCTGGCTTTTTTTTGACAGTTAACTGGAGACAAGAGTCTCACAAATTTTCTTGCCCAGACTGGCTTTGAGCAGCGATCCTCAGACCTCAGCCTCCTAGTAGCTGGGCTGACACACGCAGCTACCAGCTGAGGCGTTTATTGCAAGCACAGACTAAACATGCACAGGCCTCTTCCACCAAGACACCAGCCATATGCCTTCTACGAGGAGGACAAAGGAGGCTTGTTGCTAAGTCAGTGCCCTGTAGGCAAATGTTAACACGTTGATTTTAAGCCAGGGCCAGACATTTGGGTGTTCGTTTGTTTTTGTCATGCACCTATGAGACGTTGTTTTTTTATACTGGTTCACTTGCAGTTTAAATACCAGTGCTGTAAAAAAAAAAAAAAAAAAAAAGATAAATCCTGAAGAAAAAAAATGGAAGAAACCATAAGGTAGAAAAATCTCTCATGTTCATGGGTATGTGAAAATTATTATATTGGCATAAGCAACCTACAGAGTCAATAAAATCCCCACCAAGATTCCAATGTCACTTTCACAAAAACTTTTAAATTTTACTGGGAAGGTGGTGTGCAGAGGGTTGCAGTCACATAAGTCAGGAAATGACTTTTCCCCCTCCCTGTTCCCTCCCCACCAAGTTGTAACGTTCATTTACAACACAGTCTAGTGAGTATCACTGTTGCATTGGTTCACCCACCGTCTCTGCGATTCCTCTTCCCTTCCCCAAATCAGATGAGCTTATACACAAAACAAAGGGTACAGAAATTTTAAAAAAGTGATCACAGAGAATAAACCAAAGGACAAAAAAAAGAAATAACTGCAAACAGTACAATAAAACCCCTGTTTCCATTTCTCTGAGTTGGTTTCGACAAGCCTCATTTTCTATGGACCTGTGCACGCAGCTCTTGAGCCACTGTGACCCTCTCTTCCCCTCAGCTGTAAGAACTGGATACGTCTAGGCCTTCCTAGGCAATCCTAAAGTTCCTGTAGAAACATGGAGGCCTTCAGTGACCACAGCAGTCTCTCGGGAGATTCACACTCTCTGGCTTCAGAGCCGTAGGAACAAACCAGAGAGTAGAAGGCCCAGAAGTAACGATGCACAGCTATAGGCATTTCAGTTCAATGAATGTGCCAAACAAATCCAGCCAGACTCCAAGCAGACGCAGCTGGAAGGCGAGACGTCCACAGGGGAAGAGGACCTCCCCTGCAGGAAAGCCTAAGCGACTGGATCGGAGCGCTAGAGAACCTGGGAAGATCTGGGAAGGGAAAAGAGCTTCTCCCCAGTAAAGCAGATCACTATCGGATTCCACACACAGAATGGGCGTCTCCTCCCCAGCCCTGAACAATTACCCTGAACAATCTACAGGTGCCTGCAGCCTCCCACAGGCCCCGCCCCTTACGCCCAGGCTCCGCCCCCAGCCTCCCACAGGGCCACACCCCTTTACACCCAGGCTCCGCCCCAGCCTCCCACAGGGCCACACCCCTTTATACGCAGGCCACACCCCTTTACTGTCAGGGCCCACCCAGCCTCCCACAGGGCCACACCCCGTTATACTCAGGCCACACCCCTTTACACTCAGGCCACACCCCTTTACACCCAGGCCCCGCCCAGCCTCCCCGCCCAGCCTCCCCGCCCAGCCTCCCGCCCCAGCCTCCCGCGCAGGTGTGGCCCCTTTCCCGCACAGGGCTGGGTGCTGGGCGCCAGGAGCAGCGCTCACCTGGGTCGTTCTGCGTGGCGCGGCTCCTCGCTCCTCTCTCCTCTTTCCTCCTCGCTCCTCTCCTAGCAGGACGGACAGAGCGGTGGTTGGAGGTTGGCAGGCCAGCAGCAGCCCGCGCCCCGCCCCGCGCGGAGCTGAGCCGCCGCAGCCGGTTCCGCCGGTCTCACGCCTCTCCCCCGCCCCGCGGGCCAGATCCGCGTCCCGCTGGTCGCTAGGCAACCGCCGTTGGTCGGGCCTTGGCTGACAGAGCTCGGCCCAGGCGCCATGGACCTGGTCATCACACAGGAGCTGGCCCGCGCAGAGAGCCGCCAAGGTACCCGTGGGCCGGACCTCCCACCCCGTGGGCCGGACCTCCCACCCCGTGGGTCAGACCTCTGATCCCCGTGGGCCGGACCTCCCACCCCGTGGGCCCGGACCTCCCACCCCGTGGGCCGGACCTCCCACCCCGTGGGCCGGACCTCCCACCCCGTGGGCCGGACCTAGGTGGGACGTGGGGTCTCCACAGGCCAATGGGTGGGACGTGGGGTCTCCACAGGCCAATGGGTGGGACGTGGGGTCTCCACAGGTCCAATGGGTGGGACGTGGGGTCTCCGCAGGGCAATGGGTGGGACGTGGGGTCTCCGCGGGCCAATGGGTGGGACGTGGGGTCTCCGCGGGCCAGTGGGTGGGACGTGGGGTCTCCACGGGCCAATGGGTGGGACGTGGGGTCTCCGCGGGGCAATGGGTGGGACGTGGGGTCTCCACAGGTCCAATGGGTGGGACGTGGGGTCTCCACGGGCCAATGGGTGGGACGTGGGGTCTCCGTGGGGCAATGGGTGGGACGTGGGGTCTCCGCGGGGCAATGGGTGGGACGTGGGGTCTCCACAGGCCAATGGGTGGGACGTGGGGGTCTCCGCGGGCCAATCGGTGGGTCTTCTCTCCTAACACCTTGTGCCTCCGCCCACCCCTGCGCGGGTAGACGCAGAGGCCCTGGAACGAGCCTACCAGTTGATCAAATCTGCCAACCTGGGGAAGTCTGAGTTCGACCCCTCAGAAAGCTTCAGCCCAGACCTGTTTGTGCTGTGTGCAGAGCAGGCTCTCAAGGTGACTGCCCAGCCCCTTGGGAGGGCATCCCTACCTCTGGATGCGCACAGCTGAAGAGGCCAGTGGGGTGGGGGGACCCAAGGGAAGGGTGGGGTCAGCGATTCTGAGAGGGAGGTAGGGGTGGGCGGGTGATCCTGGGAGGGAGGGGGGGAGGGCAGTGATCCTTGGAGGAGGGGCGTATGGATGACCCATGGGGAGAGGAAGTGACCCCGTGGGGGAGGGGTGTGTGGGTGACCCTGGGGGGCAGGGGGTCGGCACTCAGGATGTACCATCCAAAGAGAATCTTTCAGGTTCTCTTCCGGTCCTGTTGTCTTGCAGATGGGACGGCCAGAGGTGAGCGAGGACTGCATCCAGATGTACTTCAAGGTGAAGGGACCCGTCACCCAGTTTCTGGGTCGAGCACACCTGTGCAGGGCCCAGTTATGTGCCCCACAGTCCGTGAACAGCCTGGTGAGAGCACCCGGCCCCCAGCATCAGCGGGTGGCAGCCTACACAGGCCTTAGCAAATGGAGTGACAGCCAGGGTGGCGCTTTCCCTGTGGCGCCAGTCACTGCTTGTCAGGTGGCTGACGTGTGTGGGCTGTGTCTGAGGAGCAGCGGGGGGCTGGGGGAGCCGGTGCCTGGTGCAGGCTGTGGGGTTCCTGTCTCACTCAGCCCCCCCCTCCCCCCGGCTCCTCACTGTGTGTAAGCACCGTCTTCAGTGTGTGTCGGCAGAAGTGACAGCAGCGGAGGGCACTTAGGTGGCAAGGTCGTTTCACTTGTGCATCCTTGATGTTGTTTTAGGAGGAATTTGAAAACTGTGTGACTCAGTACATGAAGGCTATAAACTTTGCCAAAGGAGAACCGAGGTAGGCCTGGGTGAGCTGTCCCTCCCTCGCGGGGTTAGTGCCAACACCCATCCGTGGCTCTATCTGCTTGGGCGGTCCAGCTCCCCTTTCGGGTCTGTGTTGTGTTTTTAAGAGTGTTTGATCACAGGGGTGTCTTGTTGCGTGGGAGATGACCGTGTCCACACAGACGCCTTCCTGAGTGGCTGGTTAGGGTGTAGACGAGGTGTTCTCTGTGGACCTATCCCCTGGGCCGCTCTCCCTGGCCTTCCAAGGTCAGCATCTCAGCCAGGCACTGGTGGCTCAATCCTGGGAACTGAGGAAAGCCACTGGGATGCTATCTCCACTTTAACCACCCAAAAGCCAGAAGTGGAGCTGTGGCTCTAGTTGATAGAGCTCCAGCCTTGAGTGAAAAAGCTAAGGGACAGGGCCCATGCCCTGAGTTCAAGCCTCAGCACTGACATCAAAAAACAAAAAAAGTATGTCTCCAGTGGGCTGGCTGCCCACTGCTCCTGGGCCAAGGTCTCCCGTCGGCAAAGGTGCCTGCTCACCGTCCAGCGGGTGTCCACATGATGAGTGCTTTCTTCTCCACAAATGGCACTGTTGGAAGTGTTCAGCTCACACCTAAACTGGAACTGCTGGCCTGTGGGGTATGGTAGGGAGTGTGAGGGACTCCCATTCACTCTCCTCTGGGATGGGCTTCCCTGGCCCCAGTCTCCCTGCCACAAGGTTGGGGGCCCAGCCCCGAGCCAGGGCCTGAGCACAGCCTGTTGTGGAGGGTGGTGCCGGAGGCTGGGGCAGGCCAGGGGGTGACATGGTGGTCAGAGCTGCCTCTGGAGGACTAGGGGGTGGCCCAGACTGCCCTTGGGGCCAAGAATTGCCTGCTGTTAGGCATCGGGTAGGACCTCAGGTCCCCGAGCCCCAGAGGAAGAGCCGCCCTCCATTGGTACCTTCCAGCCCCTGTGCCGCCCCCGTCTCCCTCCCCCCTCACACTTTCACGGAATTCTTCCCCCTCCACTGGCCTGATGCCCTTCATTCAGCGCCACCTTCCATGCACGCTCCTCTCCAGCTCGTGGAGGGTTTTCATGGGAATCACAACCTTGTAGAATAAATGAGAGTAGCCCAGTCCAGACCTGGGAATCATGGCAGCGTGTGGCAGACTTATGCAGCATGGGGCAGCCCTTGGTCCCGGGGCAGGGTGGTACGGGGTGGGTACTGGAGGGTGTGGGGCATCTGCCCTTTCTCCCGGCCAGGGCTGGGGCCGGAGCCCCTGCTGCAGCTGCCCCAGACCCTGACGTGGCCCCTACCCACAGGTATTACTTCCTGGTGTTCAATGCTTCGGTGCTGTACTGGCACATGGTGAGGCCCTTCCTCATCCCAGGATACCACCACTTGGTGATCCCCAGCCTCGCCCAGATTGTCAGCGTGTTAAATCAGACAGAGGAGGAAGACAAGGAGTGGCGAGCCGAGCTGATGATGTGAGTGGCTTGCCCTGGCCCCGCCACCTGGGTGGCAGATCCTGCCCATCCTTGACTCTGGACTGCGACTCTGGTGGCCAGCCTGTAGTCCCTGCCATCGATCCCACAGTGCCTGCCTCTCCCTATGACCTGTCTACAGACAAGAGAGGTGTGTCCAGTCTCCAAGCAAAGGAATTACAGTTCCACCTCCAGACCCAGCCCACAGTTTAAAAATCTTAGTGCAGTGAATTCTTAGCATAGTGAGCACTCCAGCAGATAGCTAAGCCATGAGACAGCACCGGTGCCTGCTGGCCCAGCCAGACCTGAGAGCTACAGCCAACCCAGATAGACCATCAGCACTGGCCTGGTCACCGTGGGCTGGCCCGGAAGGAGAGCTGTCTGTGCAGGCCAGGGACCTGACCATGGTATCCGAACCAGACTCCACTCTTAAATCTCCATCAGAAATTGTGGGCTTGTGGCCATTTGGAGAGCCTTTAAATGAAGTCGCTATGGATAAAAATGCTTCTTCGGTGTCCTTTTTGAATGTCCCTTTGGTTGCTGTGGCGTCCGTCTCCCGCGTCGGTCCTCCAGGCCCTTTCTAAGTTTGTGACACGTAAGCATGCCCCTGCGCGCAGCGCCCTGGCGGCCGCTCAGCCCTCCGCTTTTGTGTTGCCAGGGAGCTGCTGGACTGCTACCTGGAGGCGGGGAGGAAGGAGGACGCGGCCAAGTTCTGCACCACAGTGGCACCCTTCATAAAGGCCAACGTGACGCACAAGTACCGGCAGATCTTCTCCCTCATGGTGAGAAGCCGCTGCTCAGGAAACTGCATGGCACGTAGCACCCAAACACCATAAACAATCTGCGGACACCACAGGAAGCAAGTCCGGGCTTCCACCGCGTGTTGTATGATTGCTTTGGTCACTGGGGTGCAAATTTTGAAGAACAGGAAACCTGTAGTGTTACAATTTCTAAGGCCTGAGCCCCCAGAGCATTCGCCCCTTGTTAATATGATTGAATCAGCTTTAAATTAGAGCTGAAAAATCTGAAGATAAAGCTTAGTGAAGAGATACATCTTAATTACAAATGTCAAATTTGTAAGTAATAAAACCAAGACCCAGAACTATGTCTCTAATTCCTTGTTTGGATCCAGATCGATACTCTGTGTATTTTATGTCAGGTTCGTCATGAATTAATGGATGAGCTCCAGTTAAGGGAAGAAAAGAAGAGTTCCATCAACCTGTCCGTCTCCTTCCACATCAACACACTGAAGGCGTGAGTGGCTGGGGACAGCGCAGGCCGAGGTCACCTCCCCTGGGGAGCCTGAGGCCCTGAGGCCTCCGCCAGGTCGGGCTCGAGACACCCAGTGCCCAACGATGCCGAGCACTCCTGTGACGGGGACCGTGACAGGGGTTGGAGCTCCCCAGAGGGCAGCGCTGGCGGTGGCCTGTGGCCTATCTCAGTCTTGCTTGGGCAGAAGGGATCCATACGGTGGAGGACAGCATTTGTCTCATGAGGAGGGGCTGAGGGGAGAGAGGAGGAAAACCAGAGCTGGGACCACAGGCAACAGATGGGAGACAGATGCCCAGATTTAGCTTCCCGTAGAACAATGTTAACAAATTGTCAGTTTGTCTTGTTTGAATTCATTCTAGAAAACTGGATAAAAATGAAGTTCCAGAAGACTTCAGTGAAAGTCTGACAAAAGCCTATAAAAATTTAAGTCAGTACGATCACGAGCAGTCTCCTGCAGCCAAGGAAGAAAAGTAAGTGTGTGTTTACACTTGACCCCACAGAAAGCAGAAAGTACCAGAATGTGTGAAACGGCTCAAAACTCGGCACGCTGTCAGGGCGGAGCTGGTGTATGTGTGCCGGCTGTGGAGCCTGGCTGGCCAGCTGTGGTCCTGAGGCCGGTACTGTTGGAAGGCACTTGGTGAGGCGACTTCATGTCTAACCTTGCAGAACCAAACTTAACTCTGCACACCCACAGTCTCAAGTCATTTAGTATTTGGCAGGTCACAGTGTGAACAGCTGAACAGCCAGCGGTGGGGCTGGGGGAGGGGTGGGAGGGGCCTGGGCATTGTCACCTGGAGAGCCGGGGACCGCCCTCCTCCCTCAGGCGCTTTGTCTCTTCACGGTCAGTGAGGGCTGCTGGCACCATGGCTGGGGCCTCTCATCTCTCATCTGATGCCCAGCCGGTGAGAATCTCCCTCCTGGTCCTCAGCCGAGCTGCTGCGGCATAAGGCCCCTGGCCTCCCCTGCAGGAAGGCCCTGTGTGTGAGGGTAGGAAGCTTGCCGTTTGCTCTGGGACTAGTGGTGAGGCCTGGTGTGGACGGGGGGCGTCCGGTGCTTCCCTAGCCTGCCAGTGCTCTGTCCCCAAGAAGCGTGAGGCTCAGGTGAGGCTCTGCAGGGTGTCGGTGGGCCTGACCCCAGGACCCGTGTCTTCTTCAGGAGAGCGCACAGGGACAGGCCACAGGACAACAGGAGATGCTCGGCTGGCTGAGTGTGGCCGAGGCTGCGGAGCCAGGGCCCTGCCCAAGCCTCAGCTGAGTTGGGCCAGGGGTGCGGAGGCTTGGCCCTGTTTGTGGTGTGAGCCACTGGCCTGCGGCACTCTGGGGCGACCGCCCTGGAAATGATGTGGGTTGTGTGTTCCTGGTTACTGCTCCACAGCAAGCGCCCCCAGTCCACAGCAGAGCTCCAGCGAGGGGGCCGAGGCCGCCCTCTGGTGGCTGGCTCACATGGCTGCCTGTGAGATCCAGCTGCAGGTGGACTACAGCTGACTTGGCACCGCAGAGACAGGAAAGGCCAGCACTGGCGGCAGAGCGCCAGGCAGTCTGTGTGGGTGGCCCAGCCAGACTGTGGCGGTCTCTGCACTAGACACTGGCTGCCCGAGAGAGAGGGACATGCTCCAGTGTCCCTCCCCCCTGCTTCAGTGTCCCTCTCCCCTGCTCCAGTGTGCCCCTCCCCCCTGCTCAAGTGTGTCCCTCCCCCCTGCTCCAGTGTGTCCCTCCCCCCTGCTCCAGTGTCCCTCCCCCTGCTCCAGTGTGTCCCTCCCCCTGCTCCAGTGTGTCCCTCCCCCTGCTCCAGTGTGTCCCTCCCCCCTGCTCCAGTGTGCCCCTCCCCCCTGCTCCAGTGTCCCTCCCCCCTGCTCCAGTGTCCCTCCCCCCTGCTCCAGTGTCCCTCCCCCCTGCTCCAGTGTGTCCCTCCCCCCTGCTCCAGTGTGTCCCTCCCCCCTGCTCCAGTGTGCCCCTCTCCCCTGCTCCAGTGTGTCCCTCCCCCCTGCTCCAGTGTCCCTCCCCCCTGCTCCAGTGTCCCTCCCCCCTGCTCCAGTGTGCCCCTCCCCCCTGCTCAAGTGTGTCCCTCCCCCCTGCTCCAGTGTGTCCCTCCCCCTGCTCCAGTGTGTCCCTCCCCCCTGCTCCAGTGTGCCCCTCCCCCCTGCTCCAGTGTCCCTCCCCCCTGCTCCAGTGTCCCTCCCCCCTGCTCCAGTGTCCCTCCCCCCTGCTCCAGTGTGCCCCTCCCCCCTGCTCAAGTGTGTCCCTCCCCCCTGCTCCAGTGTGTCCCTCCCCCTGCTCCAGTGTGTCCCTCCCCCCTGCTCAAGTGTGTCCCTCCCCCCTGCTCCAGTGTGTCCCTCCCCCTGCTCCAGTGTCCCTCCCCCCTGCTCCAGTGTGCCCCTCCCCCCTGCTCCAGTGTCCCTCCCCCCTGCTCCAGTGCCCCTCCCCCCTGCTCAAGTGTGCCCCTCCCCCCTGCTCCAGTGTGTCCCTCCCCCCTGCTCCAGTGTGCCCCTCCCCCCTGCTCCAGTGTCCCTCCCCCCTGCTCCAGTGTCCCTCCCCCCTGCTCCAGTGTGACCCTCCCCCCTGCTCCAGTGTGCCCCTCTCCCCTGCTCCACTGTGTCCCTCCCCCTGCTCCAGTGTGTCCCTCCCCCCTGCTCCAGTGTGCCCCTCCCCCCTGCTCCAGTACCCCTCCCCCCTGCTCAAGTGTGCCCCTCCCCCCTGCTCCAGTGTCCCTCCCCCCTGCTCCAGTGTCCCTCCCCCCTGCTCCAGTGTGTCCCTCCCCCCTGCTCCAGTGTCCCTCCCCCCTGCTTCAGTGTGCCCCTCCCCCTGTTCCAGTGTCCCTCCCCCTGCTCCAGTGTGCCCCTCCCCCTGCTCCAGTGTGCCCCTCCCCCTGTTCCAGTGTGTCCCTCCCCCCTGCTCCAGTGTCCCTCCCCCCTGCTCCAGTGTCCCTCCCCCCTGCTCCAGTGTGCCCCTCCCCCTGTTCCAGTGTGTCCCTCCCCCCTGCTCCAGTGTGCCCCTCCCCCCTGCTCCAGTGTGCCCCTCTCCCCTGCTCCAGTGTCCCTCCCCCCTGCTCCAGTGTGTCCCTCCCCCCTGCTCAAGTGTGCCCCTCCCCCCTGCTCCAGTGTCCCTCCCCCTGCTCCAGTGTCCCTCCCCCCTGCTCCAGTGTGTCCCTCCCCCTGCTCCAGTGTCCCTCCCCCCTGCTCCAGTGTGTCCCTCCCCCCTGCTCCAGTGTGTCCCTCCCCCCTGCTCAAGTGTGTCCCTCCCCCCTGCTCCAGTGTGCCCCTCCCCCCTGCTCCAGTGTGTCCCTCCCCCCTGCTCCAGTGTCCCTCCCCCCTGCTCCAGTGTGTCCCTCCCCCTGTTCCAGTGTGCCCCTCCCCCCTGCTCCAGTGTGCCCCTCTCCCCTGCTCCAGTGTCCCTCCCCCCTGCTCCAGTGTGCCCCTCCCCCCTGCTCAAGTGTGTCCCTCCCCCTGCTCCAGTGTCCCTCCCCCCTGCTCCAGTGTCCCTCCCCCCTGCTCCAGTGTGTCCCTCCCCCCTGCTCCAGTGTGCCCCTCCCCCTGCTCAAGTGTGTCCCTCCCCCCTGCTCCAGTGTGTCCCTCCCCCCTGCTCCAGTGTGTCCCTCCCTCCTGCTCCAGTGTGCCCCTCCCCCTGCTCCAGTGTCCCTCCCCCCTGCTCCAGTGTGTCCCTCCCCCTGCTCCAGTGTCCCTCCCCCCTGCTGGTGTCCCTCCCCCCTGCTCCAGTGTGCCCCTCCCCCTGCTCAAGTGTGTCCCTCCCCCCTGCTCCAGTGTGCCCCTCCCCCTGCTCAAGTGTGTCCCTCCCCCCTGCTCCAGTGTCCCTCCCCCCTGCTCCAGTGTGTCCCTCCCCCCTGCTCCAGTGTGTCCCTCCCCCCTGCTCCAGTGTCCCTCCCCCCTGCTCCAGTGTGCCCCTCCCCCCTGCTCCAGTGTCCCTCCCCCCTGCTCCAGTGTGCCCCTCCCCCCTGCTCCAGTGTCCCTCCCCCCTGCTCAAGTGTGTCCCCCCCCTGCTCTAGTGTGGCCCTCCCCCTGCTCCAGTGTGTCCCTCCCCCCTGCTCCAGTGTCCCTCCCCCCTGCTCCAGTGTGCCCCTCTCCCCTGCTCCAGTGTCCCTCCCCCCTGCTCCAGTGTCCCTCCCCCCTGCTCCAGTGTGCCCCTCCCCCTGTTCCAGTGTCCCTCCCCCCTGCTCCAGTGTGCCCCTCTCCCCTGCTCCAGTGTGTCCCTCCCCCCTGCTCCAGTGTCCCTCCCCCCTGCTCCAGTGTCCCCCCCCTGCTCCAGTGTCCCTCCCCCTGCTCCAGTGTGTCCCTCCCCCCTGCTCCAGTGTCCCTCCCCCCTGCTCCAGTGTGCCCCTCCCCCCTGCTCCAGTGTGTCCCTCCCCCCTGCTCAAGTGTGTCCCTCCCCCCTGCTCCAGTGTGCCCCTCTCCCCTGCTCCAGTGTGTCCCTCTCCCTGCTCCAGTGTCCCTCCCCCTGCTCCAGTGTGTCCCTCCCCCCTGCTCCAGTGTGCCCCTCTCCCCCTGCTGTGCAGAAACTCTTTAATTTGATATAGTCTAATATGTCAGTTCTTTTGCCCATCCTCTTTCAGTCAGAAAAAACTTACCTGTGCCTATAATTTCAGGGTCTGCACATTTGCCCTACAGTAGATTTAGAGTTCCAGCTCTTACTTTGAGCTCTCTGATCCAATTGGCACATGATTGGAGGCAGGGGTTCAGTTTCAGTTGCTTGCAGATGGAGCTCCAGCTCCCCAGCACCATTTTTGAAGGGGATACCTTTTCTCTAAAGCATGTTTTTTGCTCCTTTATTAAAACTTAGCTAGCTGTTGCTGTGGGATTTTACTTCTGGACCTTCTATACTGTTCCATTGGTCTTCAAACTGTTTTTGAACGAGTACCAAGCTTTTTTTGTTACCATGGTTCTGTCGTATAATCCCAAGTCTGGTATTGTGATACACTTTTTACTTTGGATTGCTTTTGTTTTCCAGGGTGTTTTATGCTTCTAAATGAATTTTGTATTGACTTTTCTCATTCTATGAGGAATGATGTTGGGATTTGGGTGGGCATTGTGTTGGATCTGTGGACGGCTTTTGGCAGTATGGCTGTCTTCACGGTGTTGAATTCTGCTGCCCCCGGAGCACGGGAGCTCTTTGCATCTCTGACTCCTTCTTCAATGTCTTTCTTCAAGGTTTTATAGCTCTCATTGTAGAGATTTGTGACTTTCTTGGTTAATACCCAGGTCTTTTATTATTTTTGAGTTTACTGTGAATGGAATTTCCCCCTGATTTCTTTCTCACCCTGTTCATTGTTCATATATAAAATGTAAATATATAAATATATTAAAAAGTTAGTGCTTTTTGCATATTGGTTTTATATCCTGCTATGTTTACAGAGGTATTTATTAAGTTTTAGATTTTTTTTTGTAAGGTCTCCAGGGTCTGTTAACTATAGGATCACGTCATCTGTAAACAGGGATAATTCCACTTCTTCCTTCCCTCTT